TGCTTTTAGTCTCAAAACCAAAGCTCACGAAGGATGGCTCTTCCTTTATTCATGTGACCAACCATTAAATATATATTGAACAGGTAGTAGGAGGGACACATACTTAATCCCTGGGAATGTGTCTCTTGCTTAAATAAGGATGATAGTTTAATGTTCACCATAGTCTAGTGCTCATTCACGCACCAGAAATTCAATTAGATATTTCATACAGCCCTTTCCACCTCCTAGGTCCTAAGGTGGCTTATGTTTGGTTGTTATGATAATAAAAAATTATTGCTTTTGTTCAGTCACTAAGTCATGTCTGACTCTTTGCAACCCCATAAACTGCAGCACGCCAGGCTTCCCTGTCCTTCACTATCTCCCAGAGTTTGCTCAGACTCATGTCCATTGAGTCGATGATGCCATCCAGCCATCTCATCCTCTATCGTCCCCTTCTCCTCCTGCCCTCAAGCTTCCCCAGCCTCAGGGTCTTTTCCAGTGAGTCAGCTCCTCGAATCAGGAGCCCAGAGTATTGGACCTTCAGCTTCAGTATCAGTCCTTCCTATTCAGGGTTGATTTCCTTTAATATTGACTGGTTTGATCTCCTTGTTGAATGATAAAGTAGATGAATTCTTTCCTCTCATTCAGATTTTTGGTCTGTGATCCTTCCTTCATAGTGTGATATAATTTATCCCTGTCTTCTCTCGGGGTTATTTGCGGTCATATTTTTGTTTTTGCTGTTTTGTTGTTGTTTTTTCTTCTTCACACCCTTTATGGTAGTATGAAATTATTTTGCCTATTTACTCCTCTATTTGCCTATTGTCTGCTACTCCTATTTGTTTATAAATTCCAGGAGAACATAGATGTCAGATGGCTTTTATCTTTAAAGCTTGGTGCCCAAATCTGCATGTGCTATAGCCAATGCTCAAAGAACATTTGAATGAATGGATAAGAGCATCTTTAATTTCACTCCTATTGGTTTGCGACTGCATTGTCCAATACGATGACCACATATGGTTACTAAGTGCTTAAAATATGGCCAGTCCAAAGTAAAAGATGCTATAACATACACATTGGATTTCAATGACCTGGTCCCCCTAAAAAGTGCAATATCACATTAATAGATGTTTACATTGATTTTATGTTTAAATGGTAATATTTTTAATATATTGAGTTAGATTAAATATATTATTAAATATTTTAAAAGTTAACTTCACTCTTTCCTTTTTTTTTTTCCTTTTTAAATGTGGCTACTAGAAAACGTAGAATTTTATATGTAGCTCACCTTATGTTTCCATTGAACAGTGCCAGTTTACAATGACAGCCATGGAAAACCAATTCCAAAAATACACCGATATGAATTGGTTAATTAATATGAGGGCCCAAGCAGAAGTGGGAAACACTTGGAATAAATTCAGATGCTGTCTCTAGGCAGCTTGGAAAGTGACCATTCCCACTTGAAAGCAAAGGAGCCAGCATTTCCAGGGAGGGGTCTGATAGAAGGTAGATGCCACGCCCACTCTGAGAATGCGGGAAAACCCGGCTAGGATTAAGGCTGCCACAGTCTCATACTAGACCCTCTCAGAAACCACAGCCCTCCCCTTGATGTGTGACCCAAATGCTATCAGGATGGTGGGCAGCGATTAATGGTGACAGTTTTATGAGCACAGTGGGGCCCAGGGATACAGACGAGGGGCTCCCTGGCCGCGCAGGAGGGACTTTTAGAGACCATTAAATCAGCGCTGTGATATTTTATGTTTCACTCCAACAGTCCTGGCTTCAGACAGGCCATTCAGAGAGGCAGCTGGGTCTGCTCGAAGGAAACTTCTCTGAAATTACAGTGGCAGGCTGAAATACCAGGTCTGGTTCCGCTTTGCTTCAGGTGTGGGACTTGGAGACTTACTCCCCAGGGGAGCTTCGTCTTAGGAGGTCTGCCCAGTAGAGAGGAGCTGCTTTTTAATCCTGGCTTCCTGACCCCTATTTTTTTCCTTTGGATACTTTGCTTCAAGTGTGTGAATGTAAAGAAAATCAAGGATGTTAGTGTTGGCGTGGCCCTAAAATTTTTCTCTACCACTGATTTTTTGTGTTTTTAGTGGACATGGAATTTTCCACGGAGGAAACATCTAACAATGCCGATTTTGTGATTCTGTCCAAGATCTGGGGCTCAGTGATCTGTATTTCTGATCCCAAGTTGATGGTCTGAGTGGCAAATCTGGGACATTGCTTCATAGGCCAAGTGAAGAAATTGAGGTTCCCATGAGGGAAGAAACTTGGCCAGATGTCCACTGAGTCCTGATTTCTGGTGATGTAGCCATGATGGTTTTAATGGCTCACTGAGCCAAACCAGGATCAGACTTTGGCAAAACTGTCAGACAAAATATTTGGTAGAGTTGGGAGTTATTGTTGTTCAGTTGCTAAGTCATGTCCGACTCTTTGCAACCCCATGAACCGCAGTATGCCAGGATTCTCTGTCCTTCACTACCTCCCAGAGTTACCTCAAACTCATGTCCATTTAGTCAGAGATGATATCTAACCATCTCATCTTCTGCCTCCCCTTCTCCTCTTATCCTCAATCTTTCCCAGCATCAAGGTCTTTACCAATGAATTGGCTCTCCCATTGTGTACCTTTCTCCAAATTACATCCCACTTTCCCCCCATAGACCCAATTTGAAGCCTTGCAAAAAGCATTAACAGCTTTAACACCTCAGATGAAGAATCCATGTATAAATTGGTTTGCCGCCTGCCTGCTCTCAACTCTTCATCACTGGCAATGGATCCTGTGTTCTTTCTCTCTTTCTCTATTGCTAATTATTATTTAACTAAAGAAGCTTCCCTGATAGCTCAGTTGGTAAAGCATCCGCCTGCAATGCAGGAGACCCTGATTTGATTCGCGGGTTGGGGAGATCCACTGAAGAAGGGATAGACTACCCATTCCAGTATTCTTGGGCTTCCGCTGTGGCTCAGCTAGTAAAGAATCTGCATGCAATGCGGGAGACCTGGGTTCAATTCCTGAGTTGGGAAGATCCCCTGCAGAAGGGAAAGGCTACCCACTCCAGTATCCTGGCCTGGAGAATTCCATGGACTGTATAGTCCATGGGGTGGCCAAGAGTTGGACACGACTGAGCGACTTTCACTTTCACTTTTCAGAGAAACCCCCAAGAACATGGAAAATGCATGGTGGATTTTAATGTTCACATGCTGGTAACCACTGTAGAATCCAAGAACAGAGTAAAATCAGGAATGACCCGCATGAGCCCCATGCCTTTCCATTCCCATGAGGCTGGCAAGGTCCCCTCATCTCTCAATCTAGCTTCAAGAGGGCTGGATATGACCAGGAAAGAAAATCCTTTTGGAGATTGCCAATAACACCCAAAACCAAGCAAGAGTTTCTGAAAGTAGATTGATAAACATCAGCTCCTTTGGGATAATATCTGGTGATGGGTGGTCACCTCCCCTAGTCTCTAACCATGCTAGCCTCCATATTTCTGGCCAACAAGTCACACAGTGGCCTTCCCAATCATCTGTCTCCTCCGCATGCCCCTGGTTGGTGAGCCTGAGTGTTGTGAGCATAACAAGCTGGCATTCTGTCTGAATCTAGGTTCTGATTTTCCTTTTAATTCCATTTATTATTATTCCTACCTTTGCTCCCCCAGGGCTACGTCTTAGGCACATTTTAATAAATAAGACAACAGTGGCTTTCTTGAGCATTTGAGCATGTGTGTGTGTTGTGTGTGCAACTCCATGTGTGCATTACATACGTGTGAGTGTACACGCGTGTGTGTGTCCCCACTGAGTGCACCGACAGAGGGGACAGGCGTTCGTTAGTCCCTGAGTGCCGCAGCGTAAGCTCATCTTCTGTATAAACACACCTCTGCAAATGACAAACACCGTCGTGAATTATTCAAGGCCGCAGGGATCTCAGCACTCACCACTGAGGGGGCTCTTGCAGAAAGAGACAGGACTTGCATAGGTGAAGCAGGACGCAGGGATGCTCCCAAACTCTCTCCACAATCGTATCTTTCATTTTTACATCAAAGCGAGCCACCCAGTGCTGGAAGTACAGAGCAGTGGCTAATGTACCGCAGCTTGGACACCCTTTGCGATGACGAGCTCACCACCTCAGGGGAGTCCCCTCTGCTGTTTCCAGGTAACAGATTCTGCTGGTCCTAAGGGATTCTCAAGAGCTTCAAGGAGCTCATCTGTCCCTTCTTCTCCCTTGTGGGATTTTGTACGTTTCCTCAGGCCTCTGCCAGAGTTTTCTAAGATTAGTAAACAGCATTCCTTTTCCTTCACAATCCTCAGAACTTATCGAGAAACAAGATTCAAGAAATACACCAATGAAAACCAAACATCCCAGATCTGTTACCAGAAAAAGCTTATTTGGAGGATAAATCAGGTCAGCCATTATCAAGGGCTTCCTTTTACTTCACCCTTGAATGAAATGCACCTACCCTTATCACAGGCAGTACTGGACCAGGCCAGAGCCCACCCACCACCCGACCATCTGGGCTGAGACCACCTCTGAAAGCACAGGATTGGAAAACACGGAGATGAGCAGGTCTTGGAGACAGGTGGCTCAGAAAGGCTGAGATATGCACACCAGATCCTTCTCTCAAACCCTCCCGTCTGTCAGTGAACAGTCATCCTCTGAGGAAGAGCAAAACCAGAGAGAAACAGGAAGTCTCTCCTTTCAGTTTTGGATTGGGAATTGCCTTCTCTTCGTGGATACTTGAGCTGGGAGTGGGGGAGAGAATCACCCCTGTTGCTGCCCAAGCAATCGCTATCTCTTGTTCAGCTGCCCTCATTAACTCGTCATCTAGGCTGACCTTCCCTGAAAGTCATGTGTGGTTTAAATTTCCCCTTTACCGGTGAGCCTGAGCATAGATGAAACTAGGATGTCTAGACGGGGAGGAGAAACCGAGGTCCAGAGCGGTTAACCGGCTCCTTGGAGATCGCACGCCCAGACATCGAAGCCCGCCTCCTCCCCATCTGGGATTCTCTGCACAGCACCGCTGGCAGCCATGCTGGCTCCATGGACGGGGCCCATTAGCAGGGCCGGCTACTGTTACAGTGCTATCTGTCAAGTGATCTATGATTCTGAGATCCTGGCCGCCCGAGCTGGGGGAAGACCGGCAGCCCCAGGAGGAGAGAGAGCGTTTGACGCAGCACAGCCCCTTAATCCATCCTGCCTCCCCGCAGGGCACCAGGAGGGCCGTCAGGCGCCCCTGTTGCCTTAGCGGATGAGCAGGCGCCAAGCTGAGCGCAGCCCACCAGAAAAGCAAAACGGACGACTTTGTGTTCTCAGGGAAGCGTCTGATCAAAGGGCAGGAAAACAAGGACAGAGGGATAAAGGTGAGACAAAACGGTTAAGGGGACAAAAAAAAAAAAAAGGTTTCATTGTGCTGGAGCCTGAAAATGTGAAAACACGTGAGAGGGAGCCAGCCCTCATTATTGGAGCCCCACGCCCTGCACACCCTTGGCGGGTGACATCCAGGGGAATCCTGCTGGATTGGCCTGGTTTCATAGCCAATCGGAAGTGTGGCACTAAACGTGATCTATTTTAAATGTATTGCAGTTGAATTATTTAATTTGAAATTTAGCTGGTGCCACAGGCACTGGAGCGGGAGCAAGAAGAATGAGCAAAATGATTTCATTGGAAAATGGTTTAATTTTTAATTATGAGATGGGGGCACTTTGAGGGAATGAGGTGATTGGTCCACAAAGCTCTGTCTCCTGGATCCGTGTGGAGTCATGACAGGCACTCGAGCATATCTAATTATCCCGTCCTGACGTCTGTCCACTGACGCCAAGAACGGACAGGGAACAAAGGCACAAACAGTGCAATTACAATAATAACAATTATCATTGCAGCTCGTGTTTGTGTCAAGGAGGTTTCCACTGATTTTGTGCATTGTTACAGATACCATAAAGTAACCTTGAAGTCTTTTTGTCTTTTTGTATAAAAGAAAGGCTACAAAGCCCTCGGGATAGTAGAAGAGAGACTTGGCATGAGAAGCAGGAGATGCGATTTCCATGGTTGCTATGGTAACAGTGATGGTTCACCTTGAGCGAGTCACTTTACCTCCCTAGGCCTTAACTTCCTTTGGGGCTGAAGACTTTTCTGATTCCTGCCAACTTTAAAATATACCTCTCTTCTGTGATTCTAAACTAGATTTCTCTTCCCTGTAGATGAATCTCCTCGGGGAATCCAGATGAACCTTTCATTCTACTAGCTATCTTTCTATTTATCAAAGATCATTCAATGACTGTTTAATGAGTGGCTTTCTGGTGGCTCAGCAGTAAAGAATCCAGCTGCAATGCAGGAGCGTTTGTGATGTGGCTCTGATTCCTGGGTCAGGAAGACCTCCTGGAGGAGGGTATGGAAACCCACTCCAGTATTCTTGCCTGGAGAATCCCATGGACAGAGGAGCCCGGCAGGCTACAGTCCATGGGGTGACAGAGAGTAGGACATTACTGAAGGGACTGAGCACAAGCAATATTGTGCGGTGACCCGTTATGATCACTGGGACTCGGGCAGACGCGGATAACTCAAGCAATGCTGACTGCTTGCCTGAGAGCACTGGACAAGTTAATCGATTTCTCTAAGCCATATCTCCCTAAAATGGGGAGAATGGTAGTACTTACTTAAGGTATGTGGTGAAAATTCTGCGAAGCAGCCTATGGCAAGGATGACTTTTCTTGTCATAACTCGATTTAGAATCGATAACAAATGGTCCAAAAAAATCCATTTATATGCATACGTGTATGTTCATGTGGATGTGTAAGCACAGATGTGCAGAAATGTGTGTGTACATAAGCACGTGTGGCCACATAGAGGGGTACACTTGGTCTGTATGCACACATATTAGTGTATGCTTAAGCACATGGCCATACACATGCCCACGTGCATATCCATATGTGGCCGTGCATATATTTATCCACGGGCATGCATGTGTTCAAACACACATCCGCACAGATACATATGCACAGAGGATATTTTGACAACACTGTGAACAGCTCCAGCAGCAAACACTGTGGAGGTTCCTATAATCTAATTCAGCAATTGCCATGAAACTTCAGTTCTGCTTCAGGGGGAGCTGGGATCTCCAGCTGCACTGGGGCGTTAGCTCTTAATCATCGTAAGTCAATTAAAACAATGCTTTAAAACATCAGTTTTCTGTATCATCTGTACAATCCGAAAAAGAGACTATGAATTTCATTCCAAGTGCATCAGAGAATGCTAAATCAAGAGAACTTGACAATGGTTCTCAAACTTCAGGGTCATAGCAACTCTCAGAGCGTGCATCAGATGCCAATCATTTGTCCTCAGCCCCAGAGATTCTTAGTCTTGTGTGAGACCTGGGAACCTGCATTTAACAAGCCTCATCAATGATACAGATGCTGGTAGTTCATGAACTACCTTCTGCAAAGCCCTAAATTAGAGAAAATCTAAGCCCCTTATTTTGCAACAGAATAAGTAGAGGTCCCAAATGGTGCCATGACTCTCCAAAGTTCCACTGTTGTTAATGGCAGGATTGGATTTGGAACACAGGTCTTGTCCCTGTTTCTTAACGAAATGGTACATGGAGTTATTATTTTGCCTGTGTAAGTCTCTCAACTTCCAACAGAATTTTAAGCTTCTTTAAAGTCATTCTGCTCTCTCTCTCTCTCCAATTTTGCTCACTTTCTTTCTCTATCTCTGTGTCCAGTGTTTGAATAAGCATGATCAGCTAAGTGGGGGCTTCCCCGATAGATCAGGGGGGAGAGAATCCGCCTGCAATGCAGGAGACATAGCAAACTTGAATTCGATCTCTGGGTTCAGAAGATCCCCTGGAAAAGGAAATGGCTACCCACTCTAGTATTCTTGCCTAAAAAAATCCCATGGACAAAGGAGCCTGTTGGGCTATAGTCTGTGTGATCATAAAGAGTCAGACTTGGCTGAACAACTAAGCATACGTGCAGTCAACTAAATGATGAGAGTGAAGAGTGGATGAATGTGTGAGAGAAGCATCTTGGCAGAAAGGGAAATGACTGAATTGGGAAGAGCATAAATATGTCTCTGTTCCTATTTTTTGATCAATACCATGTTGGAGTTTTGTATCAAAACAACTGATTAGAGTGTCTAAAGCTCATAAAACTTTATTATGTACTTATTTTTGGTCAGATAAGGATCCATAGTGAGGGATTGTTTTGACTGCTTAACACTTTTGAGACTGATGCCCAGATATTAACAGTTCTTTTTGTAATGTCCTAATGCTTTTCAATACATATCACAAGATAGCTGCTACAGCTCCAGGCATTGCATTTGAATACAAAGCAAGAAGAAAGTGGGGAGACATTGCAGCTTGCTTCATTCGTTCCTCTTTTTAAGGAACAAATGCTTTCTTAGAAAATTTTACTAGGCTTTGGCTTATATATCACTGTGGGAATATTTAACTGGAAATTTGCTCTCAGAAGTTAGAGATTATGTCAGCAAAGACAAAGAAGGGATTACTTTGGACTATTTTGCATCTTCACATTTATATCGTAATGGAGAAAGGAAAGACAATACAGTAGATTTTTCTTTGCCAATTTTTCATAGGTGATGGTGAGAAAATCATCTTTTCATATATCAAGCAGTGTTCAAACTTACATACCAAGAACAGAACTAGATGCTACAAGCATAAAGCACAAATCATCATGATTCAAGTCCTCATTTTTACAGTTAAAGATAAAACCAGGAAGGTGATACTGCAATTCAGCATGACATGAGCTACAATGGAGACACAGTGTTCTATTTTTCCATGCCATTTCCATGTTCCTTAAAGTGTTTATTTGCTCTCTATAGGTCTTCCCATACAGAACTAAAACCCACAAAGTTCAGTATGAGCAAAACAGGGACCACCTTACTAGACTCATCTTGTATTACTTTTTCCCTCATGCTGTGCACAAGTCCATAATAACCCTCTTTAATTCCTGTAACTGGCCAAGCTTATTCCCACGTTTGGGACTTTGCAACGCTCTTCCTTGTCTTGAAGATGTTTTACCCACTTTCTCAACACACTTCATCTATCAATCCCTGTTCATCATTCGAATTTAAGCTCTCAAGTGATAGCTAGCTCCCTGATGAGATTGTATCCCTTCTTGCTGCCCTCATAACATTCACAGTGACAGTCGTTTCTTGCTGGGACATAATTGTGGGACAATTTGATTCATATGTGTCTCTCTGTACTCTGGACACCATGAGGGAAGGGCTGTGTGTACCTGGTAACCATTTATTTCTCCAACACTTAGTGCTTCAGTTCAGTTCAGTTCAGTCACTCAGTCGAGTCCAGCTCTTTGTGAACCCATGGACTGCAGCACGCCAGGCCTCCCTGTCCATCACTAACTCCCAGAGTTTACTCAAACCCATGTCCATTGAGTCGGTAGATAGTTATTAAAAGATACAGGGCTTCCCCATTGGGGAAGTGAGTAAAGAATCTGCCTGCAATGCAGGACACACAGGGGAAATAGGTTCAATCCCTGGGTCGGAAAGATGTCCTGGAGGAGAAAAATGGCAACCCACTCCAGTGTTCTTGCCTGATAAATCCCATAGAGAAAGGAGTCTGGCAGGATACAGCCTACGGGGTCACAAAGAATCAGACACGACTCAGTGACTGAGGCACGCATAATTGGATAGATACATGAGTGCATGAAATGAAGCCACAGGTTATACTTAGGAATCCCAGCCTCCATGAAGGACTTAGCATTTGAACTTGTCCTCTTTGATGCTGTTTTCCCATCTTTCAAATGGTTTATAGCTCAGTGATTGCTAAGAGATGTTCCAGCCTTATTTTTCACTAAGATGTACTCTTGAGGCCCCACTCTATGTCCGTCTTTCTGTGTGCCCCTGGGCAAGATGCTTAACTGCCCTCAGGCTCAGGCTCAGAGAGATATTCCATGTTCCTGTGTAGGAAGGATCAATACTGTGAAAATGACTATGCTACCAAACACAATCTACAGATTTAATGCAATCCCTATCAAATTACCAATGGCATTTTTCACAGAACTAGAACAAAAAATTTCACAATTCATATGGAAACACAAAAGACCCTGAATAGTCAAAGCAGTCTTGAGAAAGAAGAATGGAGCTGAAGGAATCAACCTTCCTGACTTCAGACTATACTACAAAGCTACAGTCATCTAAACAGTATGGTGCTGGTGCAAAAACAGAAATACAGACCAATGGAACAAGATAGAAAGCCCAGAAATAAACCCA